CTCTAAAGGTAGTTTCTTTCTCCTTCTCTCTCTAGTTTTTCGTTAGGTATTTTTGCTGTCCCATCATCTCCGAGTCCGCCGTCTCAGTTTAAATTCTCCAATCGATCTTTAAATAGTTCTCCGTCCCGACCTGGTTTCTGGTTGATGTCCTCTCCGATTCAGATTGATTTTTCCGGTGAAAACTCTCCTAGTCAGAATTTGGTCAGCTCGTCTTCTCTATCTTTATCTAACGGTCTATCTTTGATGGGAAAAGAGACACTAGCTCATGTTCACAAGGCTCGCATCTCGAAAGATGGCGATGCAGAATCTAGCTCGGTTAAGGGTTCGCCGTCTGATCGGAACCTTGTTGAGACCGGAACATTTAAGGCCGCTGGGTCATCAATACTTTGCCCGTCTTTCCCTTCAGGAGCTCGGCGTAGCCGTGTGCGAACTCATCGTGGCACCGCCTGGTCCGATGGTGAGGACGATCCCGACTCCTTTGGTTTGTCGATATCTACTCCGGGCAGATGGGATACTCCGAGACCGGGCTTAGGTCGTCACATAAAGTTGGTTCATTTTGACAATAAAAAAATGGAGTCCTCTCAGACGTCTTTGGAGGTGATGCGGTCTATTCGAGGCCTTTCGAATAGGGTTGAATTTCTGGTCCCTAGTGAAAACGACCGACCCTGGACGCCTCCAGAAGGGTACATGTGTTTGTATGAGTCGTTCTTCATGGCGAGCGGGTTGTTGTTTCTGCTTCCCCGAGTACTGATCGAGTATTGTGCCCGGCGGGACTTCAATCCGGAATTTTGCGGTATGCCTCACTCTCGCAGCTGAACACGAAATGGAGTGCGATTGCGATACCTTTGAGGCGATAACCCAACTTAAGTGGCATAAATCCTCATGTCGTTTTTATGTATCGGCTCGCCCCGGGTATTCATGGCTGCATCCGGATTCTGTAAGCGATAAATATGACAATTGGGAGCTCAGCTACTTCTTCGTGAAGATCGATGCGGCCTCTGTCGAGAACCCGATATGGCTGATTCGTTCTGGCTAGAACATTATAATCAGTAGGCTTAACATCTCTGTGTTTACGAGTTTACCCGTTCTGGTTGACACCTAATCTTCTTCTTTGTTTGCAGATTACCCAGTTCCGCCGATCTTGACCGCTCCAAAGCCCGATGAGAAGACGCTGATTCCTCTTTTGAAAGGACTGGAACCTCAGATTTGGCCATAATTCCTCAAGCAAAGGATCCAAAGGTGCCAGGAAAGGATCACGACAGGTTCGTTTGTCGAGTTTGTTCCTTTTTGATTCAGGGTTAGAACGGGCTATTTATTCAAAACCATCATGTTTTATCGTACAGGCTGTTATACTCTCGAGCTCGCTCCTCTCAGACCGTATACCTTCCCTCCGATCAAGCCAAAGATGCCCCGTCAAAAGAAAGCTAAGAAAGAAATGGTTAAGGCCAAATTTAAAAGGGCTAATTACACCGACGTTGGTCAAGAGAGTCCTGCCCTGAGCAAATGGACTGTCGTTAAACAGGTTGGGCCTTCTGTCGCTGCTCAGGGAGCGTCCAAGCAAGTCTCTTTCCATACCGAGAAGGCTGCTGAGGCTTCTCTCGCTGCGAAGAAGGCTGAAAAGCGAGTGGCGAACCCTTCTACTGAGGTCGCGAAGAAGGTTTCTGATAAGGAGACCGAGAAAAAGAGGCCCACTGAGGTCGCTGTTGAGAGATCGAAGAAGAAACAGCGCGTAGAAGAGTCGACACAGAAGACCGCCTCTATTGAAGCCGCTGCTACTGGTTTTGAAGAGGAGCCTGCGACCTATGATCTTTCGTTCACCTTTAAATCGAAAGATCATATCGCAAGTATCCTACAGGCGTGCACTGAGCTATGCTCCAAGATCCCTTGTAGCACGGACCACGAATTTCCTGAGCCCGATGACCTGATCGAAGCGGAGGCGTATCTGCTGTTCACGGGGAGCGTGATGGAGGTATCGTCCTTTAACCTGATAGTGTGTTTTAAAATTCTTGCTTTTATTATTTCTTTGCTCATCGATCTTCTTTTGACAGATGATCACACATGGGAATCTGATCATCGAAAAATACGAGCGTTGGTCTTGAGGGCTTCTAAAGAAGCTCGAGGATTATCCGAGCGTGAAGAAAGAGGCTAAGAAGGTTCCCGGTCTTGAGAAAAAGCTCGCCACGCAAACTACTGCAATGGATGATCTGTCCAAAAAGGCGGAGGAAACAAGACAGCGAGCGAAAGACGCCGAGGGAGAGCTCGAGAAGAGAAAGACGAAAAAGAGTCTCTGCGATCTTTTCACGATCAGGAGACATTTCGTCTGCGGTCTTCTCGAAGGTACGAGGTCACTCAGATCATCGCGAAGTGCGATGCTAAGATTTTGAGGTTTAAAAAGTCGATCTCTGACAACGAGGAGGCGAACAGGCTTAGCGCGCTGATGAACCAAGCGATGGCTATTAAGGATTACCTCGCTGGTTTTAAGAAGGCTGAAGCCGATGTCTGTGGCGACCGGTTCAAAGAGCTAGATGTGAACTTTAACAGGTTCGAGAAGGATTTCGATGCTCTGGACGTCGAGGAAGTTACTGATGGTGATTTTAAGATGACTCCTCCTCCTTGGATGTCCTCAAACCTTCCTTAGGGCGAGACATCGGCCGCTTCTGTGAACCTTCTTCGGACTGAGACCATCGCTCCCTTGATCAATATGGGATTTTAATGAGCGCGGAGCAGCAAGAGCAAGATCGGCTTCTGATTGAGGGTGGCTTGGAAGCAGAAGCTCAGGAAAAAGAGCTCGCTACTGTGGCGAAAGATGTGGCCACTGGCGAGGAGGTCACTCCCCTTGATGGGCTTCCTGTCATTCTGACTGCTTAGTCTTGATTCTCTTCTCGGCTCCTGTTGTTGTTATCCCTTTCTTTGTTTTTTTTTTAACATTGATTGTCGCCTTAGTACTTTATGCTTGTAAAGACTATATTTTCTTTAATATTTCCCAGGCTTTGGTAGCACGGGTTTTGCTTGCTTTATCGGTCTTTTTATTTATGTTTATATATTTTTTGGTGCATGCTGTGATAGCGAATTTTGGTTGCCTAAATCGTCGTTCGTTTAAGTTGGCGGGGTCTGACCGGCTTACGTACTTAGGTATATCTAGGTCATTTTATTTGTCCATGACTCTGAAGTCGGCTTATGACGAGATTCTTCACGTGGTTAAGTGTGCGAGAAGGACTCGGCTTAGGATACTTAGACGCTTAGAATCAGTTGCGGGTCTGGCCCCGGCTTACAGGTCGCTAGTGGAAGTTTCCGATCTAGCGACGTGGTTGATCAAACCAACTTTGTTCATGTGGAACGTTGTCAAGTACTTGGCCAAAGTGCTGATGTAAGGTATGAGCTCGGGGCTTATCCGGTCTAGAAAAATCAGTGCGCGGAATGTGTTGGAAATACTTAGGATTTTGAGAAAACAATCTTGACAG